AGAATCCCACTTCCTCTCACCTTAATAGACCTTTCTACTGTAAATCTGCCGGGAGCCCACTGCCTACACATGGACACAAAAAGCCCTGGTTTCAGCAATGGTAGGTCCCACTCTAAGCGTCTTCCCTATCTCTCCAGCCGGCTCAGAAAGCAGACCTCAATCACCTACAAGAACTAGAAGAAACCGCTGGGGATAATTCTGGGTGACTTGATCTCTCCATCTGCCTACTGCCTCCTCCAGCAGATGCACACAATATTCCACCCACTCAACATTCTCCCTACCTGGCACAAGGGTGACACCAAAGCCTCCCTGCAGACACTGCCTTCTAGAACCGCCCCTTTGGGCTCTGTTCTGACTCAATGTTTCTATTTTCAGGTCCCTTGTTGAAAGGCTTATTCTCTTCTGTGTCTGTGCCTCTAGACTTCCTGCTCTCATTTTCAGCTTAATTCCATCACTAGCCTTGACTGTTGTGGGACCTCAAAAAGTCAAGTAGATGGGGCCGGGCCCATGGCTTAGCGGTTAAGTGCACGTGCTCCGCTACTGGCGCCCGGGGTTCGGATCCCGGGCGCGCACCGACGCACTGCTTCTCTGGCCATGCTGAGGCCGCGTCCCACATACAACAACTAGAAGGATGTGCAACTATGACGTACAACTATCTACTGGGGCTTTAGGGAAAAAGGAGGAGGAGGATTGGCAATAGATGTTAGCTCAGAGCCGGTCTTCCTCAGCAAAAAGAGGAGGATTAGCATGGATGTTAACTCAGGGCTGATCTTCCCCACAAAAAAAAAAAAAAAAAAAAAAAAAAAGTCAAGTAGGAATGGAAATAGCAGCACTGACTACCCCATCCCAACATAGCTCAGACATTCCAGAGACCACAAGTTTGATGTAGCAAATAACTTAGAAATAAGCAGAGGCAAGAACGTGGGATGGAAAAGGAGTCAAGAGTCAACCTTCAGTGCTAGAGTCTTGAATCTAGAGACTTAGTCAATCATCAAGTCTTTGTTAAGCACCCATAGAAAATTAAGTGCACAGCATGCTAGGTCCCGGAGGGACCACAGAAAATGTACAAGACTCAGATCCTACCCTTGAGGAGATTATGCTCTTCTGGTGCAACACATGAGATATAACATAGAGCAAAAAACAAGCCAGTGTGTAATTACAAGTGCTAATCTGGTACAGAAATGAGTCTAAAAACAAACCCATCATTTCTCTTTCCTGACTTCCCTATTTCTATAAATGATACCACTACTCAAAAGCTCCTTTTGCCCCTACTCCTAGGCACCCAGGTTTGAACCCCCATTGTTGACTCCTTCCTTCTCCTCACCCATTCCATCAGTCTGTACTCCCTCCCTTCATAATCTTTTTATTTTTTATTATTTTTTATTTTTTTTATTTTTTAAAGATTTTATTTATTTATTTTTCTTCCCCCCAAAGCCCCAGTAGATAGTTGTATGTCATAGCTGCACATCCTTCTAGTTGCTGTATGTGGGACGCGGCCTCAGCATGGCCGGAGAAGCGGTGGGTCAGTGCACGCCCGGGGTCCGAACCCGGGCTGCCAGCAGCGGAGCAGGGCTGCCAGCAGCGGAGCACGCGCACTTAACCGCTAAGCCACGGGGCTGGCCCCATAATCTTTTTAAATCTCTCCCTTCCTTTCTAATCCCTGTCCCCACCCCACCTCCCTACTTCTCACCTGCTTACAGAACTTCTGCTCCAATCCATCCTACATAAAACTCCTCTATCAATCCTCCTCAAACACTGATTCCACCAGGTTCAGTAGGAATGAGGACCTGATAACTATAGAAATTTAAACTTCATGAGCTGGAATTCAAGCCTTTCCAGAATACGGTTCTAACTTCACAGCTTTCTTTCCCACCATGCTCCTACAGGAACTCCCTGCTTGAACCAGCCAAACAACTGTGACTGTGTGCCTCAAGCCCAGTTTGCTCTCTCCACATCACTGTCTGGTGTTTTCTTAGCCAATTTTCCCTATTCTTCAAGGCCTAGCTCGAATGCCATCCCCTCATTGAGAGAATCATCTTCCATTCCACTTATTCCCAATTTCCTAAAGAAACTGTCTGTATTTTAGCATTTATGGCTCTTGCCTTGTATTTTTATCTTTTTATTTAGGAATGCTTTATCCACTCCAGCATCACCTTCATCAAACTGAAAGCAAAGAATGCTTGAACTTCTTACTCTTCAGAACACCTCACATGGTAGGTATTCATTAAATATTGATTGATTGTGGTAATGACAGGACTTTAGAGAAGGCTGAAGTCATCAAGAACTGGTTCATGGGGAAGGAGAAGCTGGGATGGGTTTTATTTATTTATTTATTTTTTCCCTTTTTCTCCCAAAAGCCCCAGTAGATAGTTGTATGTCATAGTTGTACATCCTTCTAGTTGCTGTATGTGGGACGCCACCTCAGCATGGCCAGACAAGCAGTGCCACAGTGCGCACCCGGATCCGAACCCGGGCAGCCAGTAGCAGAGCGTGCGCACTTAACTGCTAAGTCACAGGGCCGACCCCTGGGATGGATTTTAAAGCATTTAGTTGAGCAACGGGGAACAGGGCTTCCAGGTAAGGAGGGCAATGTGTGTTGCTGGGACAAGAACATCCGACTGATCAAAGCAAGGAAGAATATTAGGGAGGCACAGAGGCAGCAGTAGGTGTGCAGCAATGGGATGACTTGATTAAACAGAAGTGCTCTTCTGGGAGCAGAATGCAGAATGGACTGAGGGGAGGTAGGGAGAGACCTGAGACACTGGGCCAGGCAGAGGCTTCTGTAATAATGCTGGCAAACCATGGAGTGACAAGGACCTAGGCTAAGATGGTGCTGAACCCCAAGCACTGGTCTATTCAATTGGTACAGTTCACACCAGTAAGTCTTAAGAACTGTGAAGGTGAACACAGGATAAGAATGGAAGGAATCTTAACATTGCCCCATATGTCACTCTAACTAACAGGAAAGAGTCGAAGGCCAGTCTCAGCTCTAGTCTCTACAGATACCATGCCATCCCCCCTCACCATCTCCGCCCTCCCTCAAAAACAGGTCTGTCCCTCTCCTATTTCAAAATATAACTCTAAAACTAGCCTATTAAATTCAGCTGAGGTCACTTAAATTACTCCAATGTCCCCATTAATATCTGTGAATCGAACCAATTCCAGTGTGGTTACATCTAGTTGGGTGGCTCTGGGCAAGTGGTTTGATTAGAGTCAGGGTGTCTCTCTTTTTGTGAAATTGGGATAGTAGTACCTACTTCGCTAGGATTCTTGATAAATTAATTAAATGACTGTCTTTAGAGCACTTTGAGCTCCTTGGAAAACAGTTCCATATATACAGAAAGCTTTGGGACCTGTCTGCAACTGCAGATTTTGCAAATGTAACCTAGGTTCAACCACCTGATGTGGTTTTTTTTTTTTTTTTTTTTTTTGATTTTATTTATTCAGTTTTTTTCCCCCCAAAGCCCCAGCAGGGATTTCTTAAGCAAATGTTCTAAGAATCAGAAT